AGCTGTTATTTTGGGATAATGGAAAAGAAAATGGAAACTACTATAGTATAATAGGGTATATATTGGGGTTATACTGGGATAATGGAAAATGAAATGGAAACTACTATAGTATAACAGGGTATACATTAGGGATATGTTTGTATGTATTTCATGGGCGCAGGCCTTCGATGCCGGTCGCTTTGGACGCTGGCTGCGCATGATGCCAGTGTCCCAGAGGTGAAGGAAAGGCAATGTGGACCATTGGGGTAAGACTAGGGTTATATAGGGGTTATATAGGGTTATATTGGGTTATATAGTATATAGGGAGTTGTATAGGGATTCTACAGGGTCTATATACGGGTTATATAGAGCTAGTGGAAAATAGAATGGAGCGTGCTATATAGCATATTGGGGTTATTTAGGGACAATGGAAAATGAAATGTGAAAGTAGTATGTTATAATAGGGAGTATATTGGGATTCTCTAGACATAATGGAAAATAAAACGGAAAGTACCATATCATAATGGGGAGTGTATTGGGGTTATATAGGGATAATGGAAAATCAAATGGAAGCTACAATTTAGGGTCTAGGGTTTCTAGACCACATAGCTAGGAGACCTGCGATATGCCCCCAAACATCTGACACATGGCTGTTGGTGAAAGATGCAAAACTCAACTTATCGTTCTTGGTTTAGGCTTTCGGGTTAAGGGAAATAATGGTAGGGAAGAATATATTGTACAGGGGTGATGTAGGGATTACCTTCCCATAGTCTACTAAGAACCAGTAAGACAAAAGGTGCTCATGTAGAAGCCAAAGATTTCGCCATATAACCCCAATCTAATAAAAAACAAGTAGTTTCCATTTTATTTTCCGTTATCCCTATATAACCCCTACCCTAAGCCCCAAACCCCAAAGAGTAGTTTCCATTTTCTTTTCCATCATCCCTTCTTAATCCCCATCTCACGCCCATCTCACTTATACAACCCCCATAAAATCCTTATATGACCCCTATAACCCCTATTAACCCCACAGTAACGCGAGGCATAGGCCTGGGCAGCCAGAACTTTGCTTTGAGTGCCTTCTAACCACCCTTCTCCTTCCTGCCATGTTAGATGTACTATATATGGTAGGTTTAGGGTTTAGGGTTTAGCAGTGGCTTCTATACAGGGATTATGGGGGATAAGTATGGGGGGTTATTTAGGGATAATGGAAAAGAAAATGGAAACTACTATTTAGGGTTTAGGGTTTATAGGGTCTAAACTCCTTTAAGGGTGTTATATACGTGATTATATAATGTAGGGAACTGCTATAGGGATTATTAAGGGGGATACTGGGAGTTCAGACTATGGCTCAGATGTGGGAAGAAGATAGCCCAGACTTGGGTCATTCCCCCTCTCAGTAACTGTCCTTAAAGGGGCCTCATTAAAGGGGTTCTTATAACTCCTATAGCCCATTGTGGTAACAGTTACTGTAAGGGGGAATGACCCCAGCCCAGACAAGGAAGTACAGCTTTTCCGAGGCTGGTCTCCTTCTACACTGACGAAGAAGCAGCGGTGGCAGATGCATTGTGCCCATATGAGCTATAGTCTAAACTCCTTTAAGGGGGGTTATATAGGGAATTATATAGAGGACTACTATAGGGGTTATTAAGGGGGATACTAGGAGTTTAGACTATAGCCCACATGTCAGCTCGTGGATGTCCCTACGCGCTTTCAGTTGGGTGTTTCGCACTAGAGCCATCTCTCCAATATCCTGTTTGTTGCTTGTTGCTGAGCTGAGCCTTACCCCAACCACATACTAAGCATAAGTGTCCCAGCACAGCTTGTCTTGCAAAAAAGTGACCTGCAACAATGTGTGTCTTGAATCTTACGCATCAGGGCTCAAGCTGCGCTGTGCTTTTGCGCTTCCCATAGGCAGTGCTTCTGGTGGTGGTAAGAAGCTGCTGGGATCGCAGTGATCAACCGCAACCTGGGTGGGTGACTCCAGAGTAAGATTTCGTCTGACCCGCACTTTGCTCTGCCTTCAGTAACCAGTGCATCATCGCGTTTGGTACTGAGCAGGTCCATCAGCATGTCCGGAGGAGGCTACACAAATGGCAGCGGGACAGCTAAGCGCCACGCGCCTGGAAGGGATGCCAAAGATTTTCTACATAGCTGATGGTAGCAACCACAAACCACCCATGGCAGTGACCTTGGTTGGCTAGTGATGTTGCGGAAGCTATGGGAAGCCCAGTAGTTGGACCTCACCTGCACCTATTCCCCTTGAGTGCCAGGTATATAGTAAACGGTGCTTTTCATGCTTGCTCCAGTTTTATGATTTGTCCCTAGACATTCAAAATATAACCCCAATAGAACCCCAATAGAACCCCAATATAACCCCAATAGAACCCCAATAGAACCCCCAATATTACCCCTATTCCCTACATAAAACACTAGACCATCAAAGCCGAGGTCAGTATGATCATCCCATTGTCATTCTCGGCGCCGGTATGGGCGGCCTCATGACAGCGGTGGATCTTCTCAGGTCCCTTGGCCTGCAGGTAAAGGACTAAATGTGGGTTTACTAAAATTAGGGATACCTTTTTAGGGGTCCCAATAATGAGGACTATAGTATTTGGGGGTCTATGTGGGGTTCCCTTGTTTTGGGAAACTATCAAATGTGCAGAAGTTTACTTTCTTGCATTCACATGCAGGTCTGGCCGAAACGACTTCGTGGTCTTGGAGCGTTGCTTAGCTGTGTGAGTGCTGCGGGTTTCGCTTATGTATCCTGATCATCTAGCTTCGAAATCATGATTTCGTGCGCACCTCGGGGGTAGCGTCGGCGGTGTCAGCAGGACCTTTTGGAGTTAGGGGCGGACAATGTAAGAACAACCTGAGGTCTAATTTTATCGTATCCCAATATATCCCATTCAGAGCAGCTGAATGCAAACAGGCTACGAGGCATTTGGTGGGACGACATGGCGAGACGTGGCCAACGAAACCACAAAGTTGCAGACTGAGAAGGCCCTGCGTCACTGATAATTAGGGGTATAATATAGGGATAATGGAAAATGAAATGGAAATTACTATAGTATTACAGTATAGTATGTTATAGTATAGTATAGTCAGTATAGTATAGTACATATATATATATAAAACTATATTATACTGATAGCAGTCCGCTTTGCTCACATGCTGTTTGCTTCGACGTCGCGCTTTGAAGTCTACAGTCTACTCAGCTTGGAATTTGAAGATTCGGGCTTGAAGAGAGTGGCACCATCTTTTCTGCAGGAGTGTCCAAGAGAGTGAATTCTTGAAGGTCTGGATGCAGAAAGTTGTCAAGAGAGATAATGGCTAATTCTGATGCATGGGACCTGTGACCGCAGTTCAGTCAGGGCACTTATGTTCCGGAGTACCTGGACCCAGAAGTGCACGCGCAGGAGGACTGAGAAGGTGGTACGGTGCTTTATGCTAATATGTTGGTGTGATACTGGGATACTGGAAAATAAAATGGAAACTACTATTTAGGGCTTAAGGTTTAGTGTTTAGGATTTAGGGTTTGGGGCATTCTGACCAAGAATGACATGTACTATAGTCTAAACTCCTTAAAGGTGGTTATGGGAGTATTATAAGGGTTATTCAGGAGGATACCAGGACTTAAGACTATAGCTCATATGGCATATGATGATTCATGCTTTGCATGTGTGATCTTGGTAGCTCATGGTAGGCATTTGGCACGTCTGCTGGACGAAATGTTTCAAGGCCACGCAAATAGCCTGGGCCCCATGCACACGAAGCCTAAACCCTAAATCCTGCACAGTAGTTTCCATCTTCTTTTCCACTAGCCCTATATAAATATTTGTTGTACCCCTATATTACCCTTATATGACCCCTATGTAACCCCTATATTACCCCTATATGACTCCCATGCAACCCCTATATATTACCCCTATATAATGCCTATATAACCTCTTATTCCCTTTCTCAAGCCCTAAGTGGTGCTCCAGGACCAGAAGACCTGGCCTTCTCGCGACAGCATCCTGGACATGTGCGTTGCATGTGCTGAAACTGGGTTGCTGTTAAGGAACTTGATTTAAGTTACTATATTGGTGTATAATATTGGGTTTTGGGTTAAGGAATTTAGTTCAAGCTCTATTATCCCCCTATATTGCAGAATCAGCTGGAAAGGAAAATAGAACATGACATGGAAACCGGGGGAAAAACCCAGGAAAAGCATGGCCTGGAGGACAAAGCCAAGCACCTTGCTTGCAGATTTCCACATGCATCACTATAAGAGCTATAGCCTAAATTCCTTAAAACGGGTTACGTAGGTGATTTTAGGGGATTATATAGGGGAGTAGGGGTTATTAAGGGGGATCCTAGGAGTTTGGACGATAGCTCAGAAGGTTCTGAATCAGAGACACCTACCACATTGCCAGCAACAAATTCCATGCTCCTGCTTTCAAAGCCGGTGTTGGGGACGCTGCGGCTACGCTCCCCGAAGCTAACATGGAAACCCCAAAAGGCCCCTACAAAGACTACAGTCTTTCTAAACGGGCACGAGCCTTTGTCTGAACTCTTAGTATCCCCTTTTCATAACCCCTATAGTAGTCCCCTAGTCCCCTATCCCCCCTTTTAAGGAGTTTAGATTATAGCTCATATGGGTTTCCATGTTGGTTTGGGGAGTGTAGGGCCTTATGTATTGACTCAGAGCCGGGCTCCCGAAACCCGAAACCCGGCTCCAACCCTGGGCAGAACTCCTTGTCTCTGCAGGTTCAACACCTCTCTGGAGAAGGTTGAGGTGAAAGGAGACCTCCTAGCTGGTGGGCATATTGCTGCTTGGATTTAGGGTTTGGGTTTTAGGGTTTAGGGGAGCAAAGTAGGTTTAGGGTTTAGGCCAGAGATCTTGTTGCTGATGGTGGTTTAGGGATGTACCCGCATCATCCAGCATGTAAGCCCAGTTTCCGTTGATCTTCCATGTTCTTGTCCATTTGATTCTCCATTACAACCCTAATACACACCCTAGAACATAGTAGTTTTCATTTTCTTTTCCATTATCCCAATATAACCCCAATATAACCCTAATAGCACCCCTATAATATCATAACCCCAGCATACTATAATAGTTTCCATTTTCTTTTCCTCTATCCCTGTATAACCCTATCCATTTGGCTCTTATCTTTTTAATGTTGAATGGTGCGCAAGCTGCTGCTTGAACACAAACTCTACCCTCTCGTGGAAGTTCTACACCTGACTTGGTAAGATGACGTAAGGCAAGCACTACTGACCATTGGGGTAATGTTAGTTAGGGTTATATCAGGGTTGTACTGGGATAATGGAAAAGAAGATGGAAACTACTATTTAGGGTTTAGGGTTATAGACCACTGACGGTAAGCCCTGAGCTTCAACCAGTCCTTTGTAGGTGGAGAGCGCATAAGAGACCATCTGTCTACATCCCAACCATGTGAGCTGCAGTCTAGCCTAGTATCCCCCTTAGTAAGCTCCATTACTGGGTTTAGGGTCTACTTAAATAAATAAATAGATATATATCCCTGAAATAGCAAGTTTCGCAATTGGGCACAAGTAACAAGCCCAGGAGTTGAGCCTCACAACTGAAGACTCGTCCGAGACCCTCAAGTGCTCTGCAATGATCTCATGCCCTGGTGCCTGCCTTACCTCTGATGGCATCTGGGGGATGTTCATGCAGTTTGTGATGCGGTGAAGCAGGACTTGAGAGAAGCTAGCAGTGCATGAGCCACATGCCATGTTTTGTCAACATGTGTGTCCAGGTGTTTTCTACAACCCCATTGACGTCAAGTGGCCCGGGCGTGAGGAGTTCGGAGGCTTCCTGGCAACGAAAGGTACTGTTCGGCCGCATTACAAATGTCACCAACTACAATGAGGGGCTTAGTGGCATGGTATGGTCTCGCATGATCGTATGCGATGTACATGAACCAATCCAGCATGCTTGTCCGCGGCCCGAAGGCTACATCACACATGGATCCTACGATAGCATTAACTACGACAAGCTCAAGGATGCGTCTGTTTGTATCTCAGCTGAGAAATGCTTTGTCCGTCATGGCAAGAAGGGCCTGGAGCCAATTATGCAGTTTGGTGGGGCTCCGCCTTCTTCTGTTAGTGTTGGCGCATGTTGGCACAGCTGAAGGCATCGTGGGGCATGGTGGCTTCACCATCGAGAATGTTCGCACATGCGTAGAGCGCAAGTCGAAGAAGATTTACGTTGTCTGCCGGCATCGTCACCTTGCCGGCCCTAAGATGGTATCCTGGATGGTCAGCGGCGCTGCAATTCCGATCCCAGGGCCTTTCGTTGTTGAAGCATTCCAAATGATGTACGATTCTTGATTTGAAGCTGTACGCCTGCAATGATCTGTTATGGCCGTGGGCGTTGATATGTCATGTTCTTGTCTCATTGTAGCAGAGGGGAGCATCTCAGGACTTGCTGGGAGTTGACGTTTGGTCCCATCCTGTTGTGAACGCCAACGCGGACAGATCTAGTGCTGTCCTGACCCAGACGACCACTTTCGGTGTGACGGACATTTATTTCTTGGCATGCTACTACAAGGTGTCGAGCCTTCAAGTGTTCATGTCTTCGTGGAGCAACATGCAGCTTGATAGGGTTGAGTGTGTTGCAGCCTGCACGCAGATCTGCTGCGGAGACCAGCAACTTGCCTTGCCGCACCTATATATGCCCATTTTACACGCTGTGTCAGGATCTGGGGCTTGCTTCCCACACAAAACGTCCCAGCAACTGCTTTGCTCAACAAGCCTTTCAGGTGTGCGAGGTGATCAACGGCGAGATTGACAAGCTCAGTAAAGGCAGGGTTGTGCGAAAATGCGTTTGCATTGAATCCTTGTGCTTAATTGTCAAGCCTGAAAACAGAGCAACTTTTCATGGTGTGCTGATTTTTGTGGGTGGCCACACAGGCTAGGCGGCTAGACTCCCAATAGTGCATGTGATCCGACCACCCTGGTTCCAGTCATCTGAAGGCAAAGTCCACCTGAAGGACGGCCAGGAATTGGAATGCAATGCCGCTTACATGCAAAAGAATGCCCTCCGTAGTTCCACTGCCTTGAGGACATGCTTTGAAGTCAGACCCTCAATATTTCTTGATTGGATAGGGTCTGGGCAACAAAGACTTCCAGGACTTGTGCCGCCAATACGTGTTATCATACCTCTATGATATCCAAAGTCCCACAGCTCCGTAGTGGTGTGGCGCACATGAAAGATCTTCTTGCTGGATCGCCGCCTCATCGACTGCCAAGGAACATTCATGTCCCTTGTGCGTGCTACATGCAACCTGCAATGAGATCTAGCAAAGCCACTGATTATCCAGTTGCGTTTTTCTTGTAACCCCTATATACGCCACGTCGAGGTGGCGCGCATATGTGCCTCTTCGTGGGAAGAAGAAAAAAGGATTGCTCACTGGCATGACTGGCCCTGTACAGCTTTATCACAGGGCCGTGAGAAGGTGATTAGTTTGTGGAGCGTGGCTTGAATCACGACCTTGTGCCAACAAGATCGTGAAACTGAGCACAACCTTAATACACCAACATTCCTGGTGTGACAGGACGCAGGCACTTTGAAAGCAAGAAGTAACCATAACCTCCGAGAAGATAGCCTGGAAGCTCTGATCAAAGATTACAACGCCGATGAATGCTGTGCCCCCGGCTAGCTGGAGCAGGGTAGTTCATAGACGGTGTCAAAAACCGCGTAGACATTCTCGCGCCCTGAAGTCCGCTGCTCTCAGGATACTATAGGGGTTATTAAAGGGGATGCTAGGGCTTAAACTCCTTCGAGGGGGGTTACATGTACCCTAATAATGGAGGAGAATCAAATGGAAAAGACATGGAAAATGAAATGGAAACTGGGAGGATATAGGGGTTTATTGATTAGGGTTTAGGGTTGAGGGTTAAGGGACTACATTATGTGATCTGTAGTCCAAACAATTCCCGAAAGGGGGAGAGAAAGGGAATTATACGGGGGACGTAAAACCCTAAACATACTGTTGATGGAGGAAATCTTGCACCACCTTAAGTCCCTAAGGTCCCAAGAATTACAGTAGTTTAGGGCCCCTGGGTGGTGCAAGATTTCATCCATCAACAGTAGGGTCACAACCTTCTCCCAATTCCGGAGCCTGACTCTGACGTGCAACGATAAGAGCTATAGTCTAAACTCTTTAAAGGGGGTATGCTATCTAGAGCATTATATAGAGGAGTATTCTAGGGCTTATTAAGGGGGATTCTAGGAGTTTAGACTATAAGACACTTCTTGAAGATTCCAGGTCATTATGAAGTGCTTGGGAAGCCATGGGGCTACAGATTTTGACGACATCATTGGCTTCAAGTTCTACCAGGGCTGGTGGGTGAATGGCGAGGCGCTCATGCCCGTGATGGCTCCAGCAAAAGGCCGCTTTTGAATAGGGTTTAGGGTTTAGGGCTTTTGAATCTGGGGATTGCTGAAAATTAGGGCTCCTTTCTGATAGCAGAGGGGTTGTCATTCGTAGAAAGTTTTAGTCCCCTTTACGTAGATAGATAGAATGTGGCTTTGTGTATATTACAATAAGATCCCCATATACTCCATATTCTATGTACTTAAGGGGGACACTATATAGTATAAGGACCCAGGTTGGAAGCTCTCCCTCCCCTAAGTTGAGAGGCTTACAGTTTTGCGTATATGGGAGTGTCGCGAAGTTATCGCTGTACAATCGACCATGGGGACAGCCATAATGTCGTTACTAGCTCAGTATATCCGTTCGGTCCCCAGAGTATCTCTTGTTTTGGAACCCCATGTCCTAGATGCCTAGCTCAGAAGCTGCCTGGAAGCGCAGACAGAAGTACGCAGCAGTTGGTGGAACTTACCTGGCGCTGATGGATTGACGGTCCTGCTGTGCTGGTGTGAGTTGTAATGGTGCTGACGAAGGGAGCAACACAGGAACGCGAAGTGTCCGTGATGCTGTCATTAAGTTATGTTTGCAGCCCCATAATGTTGTAACCCAGGTTTTGGGTCCCCAACAGCTTTATTAAGGGCCATATTCCATGGTTCAGGGACCCAAACCCAAGGGTACAAAGCCTAAGGGTCGTCCCTGATTCATGGGGCCTGAAAGCCCTGGAGGTTTAGGGTTTAGGATTTGGGTGGGGCCTGAAAACCCTAAACCCCAAACCCTAAACCCTAAACCCTAAACCCCAAACCCCAAACCCTAAACCCTAAACCGAAAACCCCTGGAAAGGCGTGCAAGCCAAGAATTTCGGAGGTTTCAGCTTGGCTCCAGGCGGCTCGTCAGCTCAGACCGTTGGCCAATCCTGGCTTTATATTGGGGATAATGGAAAAGAAAATGGAAGCTACTATAATGGGTTATATAGGGATTCTATAGGGTATATATTTGGGGTATAATATTGGGATAATGGAAAAGAAAATGGAAGAAAA